AGCTGCCTTTAGCTTAGCGGTGGTGACGTGAAGTCATGTGACCGTGCTGTAGTTCCTTCGTAGCCCAACATTAGCAACCTTAAGCTTAGAGGTGGTGATGCTAACAGGAAGTAACTCAACTGAAAACCATAAAACCAGAAGTGTCGTAAATCATAATAAAAACGTACAAATAAAACAATCATTAACAGTCTTTTTCAACTAGAAGTAAATGCAAACAACATATCTAAAGAAACCATTTGAAAATAACTTCAATGCAGAACATTTAATATGTTATCCAAGCTTAGCATAGCAGGTGGATAGCTTCGATCTTTCCAAAGTTTAAAAATACACCTACAGTACAAACACCTCCAGAGCTCCTCCATTAACACGTGTCTCTTTTAATCTGCCCACAAATAGAAATGTAAAAATGAAGGCTTGCGGTTTGACGGTAGTTGAGTGCTGTCACTCTTTCCTGGTGAGCAACAGGACATGCAAATATACAGTAATGTTGGTAAAGGAGTACACAAAACCCCGCCTAAAACCTCAAATTGATGTTTTTAGGTTTTTTGTACAGACAAGCGAGACACAAGATGTTAATTACAGGGTTTTAAAACTCTTTTGGGACCATTTCTAAACTTTAAACAGCTTAAATATCTGTTTCCTTCTTCCTCCCGTCTTTATGCTGAATTTGGCTCCCAGCTATAGCTCTGGATTTAACACACTGACTGGTTTTTATGTATTCATCATGTCCTCAAATGTTGATCATGCTTCCCATGAATGGAGCAGCATGTTGTAAAAATACTTAATACAAACTCCTCGTACGTGTAAACCTACCTGGTGATAAACCTGATTCTGATTTCGACAATAAAACCTTTGAATGTGATATGTGAGCAGGAACTCACCAGGCTGATGAAGATGAGGACGAGCTGGATGATGTCGGTGTACGCCACAGAGTACAGCCCCCCCATCAGGGTGTAGGTAATCGCCACGGCAGCAGAGATCCAGATGCTCACGGTGTACGACAAGTTCAGGATCACACTCATGGTGACACCTGGAAAACACACACACTTTGGTGTTCATACTCTGACTGCAGAGACTTGTGTGTTGATTATAACAGCGATATATCACCAAAACTATTCATTTTCGACTAGCTTTGACTTTAGATTAGATTAGATTGAATGATTCCACAATGGGAAACTGCAGCATGTTTAGAAGGCATTGCACATGAGTTTAAAATATGATAAAATACAAAATAAATTACATAATAAACATATTTAAAATTAAAATAATTAACTTAATTAATAACATAATAGATACATATTTTTTGTATACATTTAATAATAAAATAAAATACAAACAATTATGTTTATCTGGGTCTCTGGGTAGAACATCATTCAACCAAGTTATTCTACATCCTTGATAGAATGCCCTGGCCGTTGCACTGAATGAGAGCGTACGTTTGAACTAACGTGACCCCCAAAATAACAGTGCTAGAGACTGGCGACCCCCTGTCGACGGGGGGGGGCTAGTGAATTAATTTCAGTTTTCCGCATTCTCGCCGGAATGGAGCGAGCTTAAGTTTCACTTTCGATTGCATGATATAGCCCAGTGCAACACCTCCGTCAAGCATGTTGCCACTTGTTTGTACCATTTTCAGGCGATTTGTAATCTGTTCTAGAAAAACGATATGTTTTTTAGGATTTCAAGAAGCATATAGAACAAACAATGGATGTATTTTATGAACATTTAGATGTGTTGGGAGTGAGATAGAGATTATTATCTAATATATGCATCTGATGAAGCATTGCATGAAGTCTGTTGATGATCAGAGGCTGTTGTTGGGGCTGCATAAACGTTTTTTTATTTTTGTTTTGTAGACAGACCATGCAGGCCTCAGAGAGTTAAACTTGGGCCTGCGACCATAGTTTTATTGTATTTTNTCGGAACACAAATGAGTTAATCAACGGACAAATCTTTACTTATCTTAGTGGGGCTGTCCTGTAACTTTTCTCGTACACAGTGAAAAGAACTTCGGTGGTGAAGAGTTTGTGTGCGAGGTGAATGCTCAGTATCTGCCGCTGGATCCACCTCCTTCGAGAACGTGAGACTTTAATCACAAATAGTGATAGACCCTCCCTCAGGGTGCATAAGTCCATATTATTGGTGAGTGCTCGGTCCCCGGGTATCACGTTCGCAGACTGCCAAACCCCCACTTTTCAGGGTGGGAGGCCCGGACTCGTGTCATTACGAGGGACGCATCGAAACCGCCGACGGTGCCGACTGGGCGTCAAAGTCTACCTGGCTGCTATTGCTGCATGCCATGTGGGCTTTGAGGGAAAGACGGCTAGCCACCATCCATTGGTCTGCCGTTTTATGAAAGGGGCTCGCAGGCTCCTCCCTGTTTCCAGGTCACTGGTGCCCTTATGGGACTTGGCAGTGGTTTTAAATGGGCTCACTCGACCTCCATTTGAACCCCTGGAAGAAGCTGACATGAAACATCTGTCACTGAAGACAGTGTTGTTACTGGCTCTGGCATCTGCCAAGCGAGTCAGTGACATTCATGCGCTCTCTGTACATCCTTAATGCACTCAGTTTGCCAGTTTTATGAATGAGAACTATAGGTTACTTACGTAACCCCAGTTCTCAGAGTAACATGAAGTGAGATGTCTTACCAGACGGCCCTTCTTGCTAAGGCGAAGCGAGAAGAGGTGCTTATTTTGAATGACGCTGCGACGTAGCGCAAGCTACTTAAAGGGTGGGTGGATTCCCTGACATAAACGTCAAGATCACCAGCCAATCAGGATTGGCGTAATGAGATTGATGCTTCTGTTTGCATACGCGTTGAGGCATATCCCATAGTGAGACATCTCACTTCATGTTACTCTGAGAACTGGGGTTACGTAAGTAACCTATAGTTTCCCAGTGATTGTGTGTGTTCACCTGTTGCTCTTGTGTTTCTGCTTGCCCATCCAGCTGTGTCGTCTCTTGAGATTTGTGGTGTGTCTTCCGTTGTCCTACTTATTGGGCCGTCGTCGTTGTTTTGCCATGCATGTTCCCGTTGGTTTCCCCTGGGCTTCTTTACCTTGTGTTCCTGGTTTTGTTCCCCTTCCCCGGTTTGTGCATGTTCAGTTTTTCCTTGTTTATCGTTTTGTTTGTGTCTTAAAGCTTTTTGTTCAAACTACTTGACCTCTTCTTTTGTAATGTGTTTGGTTCCTGCCTTATTACCAAACCCTGACAATTCTATTCTTATTATCCTTGGCTGAACTGTGACCTCCCTTATTCTGTATTTCACTTGTATTGCTGTTACTGCTGGCACCTGTATTACATTTGATAATTAACCTGTACATTTATTGAAAATGTACACTCTTAGTTCAATCCATTTCCTATTTTATTTATTAAGTCATTTATATTGGCAGTATACAGTCCTCCATTTGGTTAAGGTACTTTAGTAACAGTGCTTATATATAATTGTTACTTAAGAAAAAGTGTTTATGTATAATGATGAAAATGTAATTGCAATATCCAATCAATCCATCAAAGTACTTAATGCAGAAGAAATTACCTTTTGACTGTTAAATACTACATCATTATATTATATGCATTAATGTAAAAGCAGGTTTTTACTTTAAGGGTTGGTTAAGAAGGAGCACATGTCCAAAAATAAAGATTATTATTATTTTCATCATTAATCAATTAACTTTGTTGGTTTGTAAAAATGTGATGCTGCTCTCGACACATTCTTTTCCCTACTGGAATGAGTACAAGTTTATATTTGATCTAGCTATTTGGTCAAATATCTCAGGATGATTTTCTTCAAATCGCCCAGTCATACTCCATGCTAGGATGTGACTCAAGCAATGTCTTCTTTGCTAACTGCATGGTCACAGGCGTACCCACGGCCGAGGGCATCGACCCGACAGCTGTCTGGTAATACACACTGCAGCGTCCTTTAGGGCAGGTCACAGATCAGTCAAAAAAAGAAAGAAAGAAGTGTGTAGGGAGGGAGTTAGGAGAGGAGACGAGGAAGAGGATGCTCTCTGTGGTCCCTCTGTTCCCTGCCGTCACCAGGGAGAGAGGTGAGGGGGCTGGTTGTCATGACGGCAGTTGTCATGGCAGCTGGACTGGGTAATAAACAGGAGTCTGTCCAATCTGTCCAACCAGTGGCTGCCGCGGCAACCGCTCACAAGATTCATTGATGTACTTTTTTATTTAAATTTTATTTGCCTTTGTTTTTCCATATTCCGATGTTTATTTATTTTACAATGTATGGTTTCTGTAGTGAGAAAACTTAACAACCCTAGGGTGATGAGACGATTCTCTTTAAATAAGCCCCATTTAATTTTACAGATGCTTTTCCCTTTCCTGTAGTATGTGTTATAGGTTTATGTGCATATAAATGGTCTGCAAAGGCTCAAATCCCAAAGTTCCTCTCCCTCAGGCACTTCCATTATTCACTTTGAGGTTTTTCCAAGGAACAAAAATGCCCATAAAAACATCCTGCATGTTTTCATGCAAGTTGTTTAAAGACAAATGCATAAAAGCATATTTTGTAAGTATAGCTAATTGTGTACGAATGATGTCCATTTCCACATCTTTGATACATTATGGGTAATATTTTAGCTTTTTAAGCCAGCAATTCCTCTTTATAAAACCTACTTTAAAAAAATGAATTCATATCTTTTATACACTATTTGTATATTGAAGTTTTCAATAGCATAAATACTAAATTACTTCATTGTCACTTTACCACCTTTATTCTACATTTGATATGAAACATAGACGTAAATTATGTTACTTTAATTTATGTGACATTGTTCCGGAGTATTCCTTTGCCCATCTTTCAGACTTCCCAGGGTGCAGCAGTTCCCCTTTAATTTCCCACTGTTTTACGGCTTCATATAATTCCTGTTAGCTGTTTTATGATGTCTTGAATTTGCAGAACTTAATCAACCCCTTCTCAGGCATGCTTTTAATACTTCAACAAGCTTAGAGTCAAATAATTAGAGCAGCAGGTGACACAGTTAATCTTCAACGCTTTAATTGACTCCATAGTTTGGCTTTATTGCAGATCTAGAAAAATGAGATGACAGTTCATACGAACCTCTCTGAAGATTATCTACGGGAAGACAAATTGAAGCCACTTGAGCTGTGGAATACATTTGTTAAAAATAAAAAAAACATATCAATAAAATAAGACTAACTAATAAGCTGACTCCTGGAGGGGTTCCAAACCAAAATAAAAATCCCGATGGAATCTGCGAGGGAGGGTCTCCTTCCTCAGCTGCAGGGTGGGAAACGGGCTGTTCCTCCCTTATCACAAAATGTGGTCTTCATCCTCGTCCTCGGCTCTTAGAGCTGCGCTACGTCTCGTCAGTCCTCTTTTCCCTCACCTGCTAGTCCATCGGTTCCTTCATTGGTTCTGATGATCCAATTTTATCACCATTCTCCAAGTCCATGTCCCCCACATCTTTCCCCACTTCTTTCTCCTCTGCGCCATTTCCCGCCTCCTCCTTTACTTCCACTCCCTCCACCGCCTTCTCTCCATCCGGGCCTTTGTCCCCTTGGCCCTGCTTGTCTCTGAAGACCTCCACGCCCAACATTCGGAGGTAATGAAACCTCTCGTTTCGGGGGACGAAGGCTCGGATGGACGTCTTCCCCCTCCAGCCGCACAGCTGGATGGGACACTGAGGATCCTCTGTGTTACTGACAACGAGAGGGTAATGGTGAGGGTCAGGAATGAACAAAGACCTCAAAAAAGGATATGAATGTGCATTCAAACATAAGATAAATTACACTTACTTTGGGTTGGGAATGTACTTCAACACAATGCTGCCCATCACTGTGGAGAGAAAGAGATTCGTAACTAAAAGCAGCAAAACATTTGCCCAAAATAGAACAAGAAGCTGTAGGGCAATGTAGGTCTGATACTTACTATTATTTTCATTATGGATTCATCTGAAGATTATTTTTTAGATTAACTGTTTGGTCTATTTAATATCACCACTATGAATCCAAAATATGCCTTTTATTATGATATAAAATAGACAATTGGATACCGCCCAATTTTAGGAGTAAAACAAAATTCTCTGCCATTTTTAAATGTCAAAAGCTGTAGTGGATCATTAAATCATTTCAATTGTTTTCTTTTGGTGGACTAATTGATTAGTAGACAAGTCGCAGCTCTATCTCCATGTACGGTTTCTTACAGATCCGAAAATAACGCAGTGTAATTACAGTTCTCTTTTGCCTGGAACTGCTCAGCTCCTCCCGTCAGTGTGTTTTTGGGTCAGTGCCTTGCTCAAGGGCAACTCAACAAAAGTTATTCAGGAAATTGGAGCATTACTCGTTCTCTTTCATTTCATGGCAGCCAAAGCCAGAAACCTCCAGGCTGCTTCCCAAAACAAATATTTAGTTTCAGTATCAAAAAGGAAACTGTAGTATTGTAGTAGTAACATCTGCACTAATATTAAATACAGAGCTTAATATGTCTGAAAGCGGTCACTGAGTTTTGAATACATGACGTTTTGCCGTGCGTACCCAGTTTCTTGGCCTGAGCGTGAGCGTCTGCCTCCAGTTTGCTGAGGTAGGGGTTCTCCTGGGTCAGCAGCACTTTGATATCCTCCACACTCACCGTGATTATCCTGGAGCGGATATACGGCTGAAGACTGTAGATACCCTGAGAGCACAAAGAGGAGATGAGCATGACAATCTGCAGGCTGATATAATATCGTAAAAATGGTGCATATGAAATTAATTAATTCCAAGTTTGTGTGGAGTGTGAACTCGGCCGTCTGGCTCTTGTTTTTTTAGCCTCTGTGGAGAATACATTAGTGACAGGAGGGGAGACTAACTGCGTGTTAAAAGGAGACATAAGGGGATGATTTAACGATGAAATTTAGTATCAAATGAAAGAATATGGAAGGTGTGGAAGTCATACAGATGCAAGCCAAGCATGTCACAATGCATTGCTGTATGTACTGATGCATGTATTTAAATCACGAGGTTAGTTTGCGTTCAAAAATAGGATTATAGTGGTGTAAAAATGTGCAGCTAAGGCTTCATGTTTTCACAATAAATAAGCTTATGATTATAACACGCTGATCAACACAGAACAAGTTCGTTCACAGCAGATTATTTTTACTGAATGTGTGAGGATGAGAAGTGATGTCCAGGATGCTGTGGTGAAAATACAGTGTCTGTCTGTCTGTCTGTCTGTCTGTCTGTCTGTCTGTCTGTCTGTCTGTCTGTCTGTCTGTCTGTCTGTCTGTCTGTCTGTCTGTCTGTGTGTGTGTGTCTGTGTGTCTTACCTCCTGAGCCAGTCTGAAGGCACAGCCAAACTCCTCTCCATCACTGTTGCGAGACCACACCTTCACCCCCGTGTTGATGACCTGAGTAACACAAATAGAATAATGCTGATTTATTGCAAAACACAAAGATGCCAAATCCTCCTGTCTTTAACTGCACTAATTATTATCCCTCTTGAAGGCCTAAACAAGGGTGATAATTTAAATGAAAATAAAGGACTAATTATGTTACATGAGGTCTTGTAGTATTACTCTTGATGCGTGTTGTAATTACCGAGGTTCCCCAAACTGCCTTGCTCGAGGCATCGACTGTACAAGATATCTCTTGTGTGTAAACAGAGTGCAGCTGGTTTCTGGTGTCCCAGCAGGAGTGGGAGGAAAGTGTTAGCTTTGCAGAGTAAAACTCAACAACACTTCACAAATTAATATTCATGATGAATCCTTTCCAAACCTAACAGAAACCAATAACTTTCATCTTTGTTTAATATGATATTAAAGAGTCCCTATTGTGCTGTTTGGAGTCATCCCTTTCCTGTAGAGTGTAATATAGGTTTCTGTGCATGTAAATGGTCTGCAAAGGCTAAAATCCCCGTCTTCCCTCCAGAAGGAGTTTCTCTCCCATAATTCTCTTTGTGAAACTTGAGATATGAAGAGATGGTAGTCCGGCAGTGGCTCAGTCAGTAGGGGCTTGGACTGTGAGCCGTAGGGTCGCCGGTTCAAGTCCCCGACCAGACCTAAAATATGGAGTGTGGACTGCTACTTGGACAGGTCCCAGTTCACCTCCTGCCCTGCCGTGGTGCCCTTGAGCAAGGCACCGGACATCCCCCTCCCCCCCTCACTCCCATTGCTCCCCGGGTGCTGTACAATAGCTGCCCACTGCTCCTAGTGCTAGACTCCTGGTACTAGGATGGGTTAAATGCAGAGAACAAATGTCACTGAGTGCTGTGTGCTCTGCATGTGTGACCATTAAAGAGGGTTTCATCCCTCCCAATTCTATTCTATGGTACGCACTCGTTTTTCCTTCACTCAGATTTTAGCCACTGAATCCATTATCGGTTATAATTTGGAGAACCGCAACTCATTGTGCTTTAGCTCAAAAGAAAGTGACTCATAAGTGATGAGAGCAATGAGAGCAATGAGAGTGAGTCACACACAACACCACCTGGTCAGGTGCTGCAGGGTGGAGGAGAGGGATTTGGGATGTGAGAGCGTCCCATCTGTTAGACTGTTTCCCTCAGATGGATGGGTACACGTCCACTCAGTCTGAAAATAATGTGCCAAAGTAAAGCCAATATCTCCGTAGCCAAAAGCTGGCACATGCACTGCTATAATAAACATAATGGCGCTTATTTGAGTTCACTGTAAACAGAGCTTTCCATAAGACGGCTACTTTACACATTACATTTTTCTATTCTAATTAAATGTATTTCACCGTGTGTGAACATTTTTACGACTACTAGCCTCGGACTTCAAAGCACAGCGAGCATGAGGATAAATACTAGTCCTGTATAAGTCCCGCCCCCACATGCTTTATGTAAGTGTGTGTGTGCACTCTGCTGAGAGGAAGTGCGTGCCGAGTAGAGAGACGTCTTCAGTGTTTGACAAATATTAGCAGAATATTTGATTACCAAACCAAATGATGAGGTGTATTGATTAAACAAACAGGAGACTCATTAAACGGGCTACTTCAAATTCCCGGTGGCAAGAACTTGTCATTTGCTATTTTTAATTGTTTGTTTTTAAATTCCCTGTTTTACGCATTGAGCAGGGGATAGAATATTTTTGGGTAATCGCTGTAAGGAAAAGTTTGACAAGACATTTTAACCAAACTTGACAGTCAGCTTTAAAGGGGCCCTATTATGCTAATTTCTAAGGTTCCTATTTGTGTTACTGGACATGTTTACATTCACGTCTGCTTTTCCCACTGAATGGCTAGCCCATATCCTTATGTAAAGCTCTATGTATAGTGTGATCAATACTGCCTCCAGAAAATAACTGATCATTGATTTGTTTTATCTATTTGTATCGTATTTCCATGGCAGGAAATGCTTTGTCATCATCATCGACCCAGGCTTTCAACATGTGCAGTGATCTAAACAAACACACACACACACACACACACACACACACACACACACACACACACACACACCTTCATGCGCTCGCTGTTATTGAGCAGCACGTTGCGCAGCTCTTTGGACACCATGTACAGGTGGCGCTTTTTGCCGTCGTGGGTCCTGGTCAGAACGTTGATCTTGGGGAAGGTGGGGGATAGATTATAGAAAGACCTGGAGAAAACAGAAAAAAGTTGAATGGCTGTGTCACTAAAATGCTCAAAACTATAAATGCAATGTCTTATAGAGACGTACTGTATGGTGGTGAAGACGGGGTCCTCTTCAGTGAGGAACACAAAGGGGTCTTCTTTATAACCAAACAGCTTCTTCTTCTTGGAGGCGGGAGGTCTGGGAAACACAACGGAGACATTCATTTGATGGGTATATTTACATTTCAATTACCCAATAAATGTGGGTTGTGTGCAATGTCAAAAGTTCCAATAAACCTTTAATGGAGGAAGAACTTTGTGTGAGCTTCTAAAGATTAGCTTGGCCAACAAACAATCAAGGAAATTGCTTCAAAGTAACTATCTTCAAATGAGCGAATCAATGACTCATTCGGAGTTCTTAAGAAACGTTGTTTTACTCGAGTCCAAGAGGGAAAAGTCTTAATGAATTGATATAAAATGGAGCAGGAAATCTTATTCTCCCTCTGGAGGAAACATAGGGATTTAAGCCTTTGCAAACCATGTGCATGCACAAAAACCTATATAACACACAACAAGAACAGGGTATATGCAGGAATCCTGAAGTCAGATGGAATTCCTTTTAAAACCTTTTAAGACCCTTTCCATACATTTTAAGACCTCATCGCCACTTTGAGTTTTAACCGGTTACCTTGGCGACTCACTTTACCTCACATTTACTATACACAGTATTGATTGTCCTTCCTCCTTATCTTCCAACCATTTGGACACAGACTTGCATTTCCCCATAACGATGTTGTTTAACAACCGGCGTAAACGGACCTTCGCGCGCTATTCAACGGTGTGAGCGGCGATGTCCGTTTCGAGTGACGGTCCAATTCCTAACGGGTGCTCATTAATTAAGTACCACAGAATTCACATACACACGCCTACGCAATTTAGGCTGTGGCTACATTCAGCACACTGTAATACATACCTCGTTTGGACCATGCGGCGCCGCGCGGGGCGTTCACGTTGGTCGCCGTTATAAAACAAGGCTCACAATAGATACCTTTGGAAAATGCTGTTTAATAGCCTTTAATTTTGACTAATGATGATTTATCAACTTCTATACTTTTAGAGATCCGCGTACAACCTCTGCAGGAAGGGAAAGACCCAAAAAGCATAAAACGGCGCTTAAATAAAAGGTTAGCCAAATGCGTTTGAGGAAGTAGCTGAGCATGCAATCTAAACAACGAGACCTTGGATGCACGATGTCTATTAACCGAATATTTTTCTGTCTACGACGTATCTTTTCTAACAATGACGAAAAATCTGAAAGCAGTCCGTTCATTTTGACGATTAGAACAAACTCGAACAGCCGCGCCAGATTCCCGCGCGTGCTCCGGGGTTAAGATGCGCCAACAAAGAAATGATGAGCGTTGCTCCAAAACCCAACTTTGCCCTACAAAGCATTGAAATGGTCTGAGTTTTGGCTTACGCTGTGCGCACTCGCGAGTGCAGTGGCTATGCAGTGTTCACGTCGTGTCTGTCTGTCTGTTTCTGTCTGTCTGTCATGTCTGTCTGTCTAGTCTCCTGTCTCCTTCTCCTCAGAGTGTATGTTCGAAAGTCGTGCGGGTTGATACTGGTATTGACTGGATAATTGTTATCGATCCCTGTGTCAAAATTGTAGCGCAGTGAAATAAGGTCTAGCGCGAATCGTCGCTGAGTGACATTCTTTGTTTGTTGTCAAGATGCTGAGTCGCGCATATGTTACTCAATTATATCTTTTGGATAGTCATTTTTATAACATCTGGACTCTTTCGCGTGTACGATGGGATGCATGGTGTGAAGTTTAACGTTTTCTCAGATAACTCATATCTGTGCTAGGGGGTGAGCACAGAGGTATAAGCAATGTTCTTTTGTGGTGATTCTCCTTTGAACAGTGCGTATTC